GGTCCCAGGAGGACAAGGACTTCGCCTTCATCTGGATGGCTGTCTGGTCCACTCTCTGCTTCGTCTCCACCGCCTTCACCGTCCTCACCTTCCTGCTCGACCCCCACCGCTTCCAGTACCCCGAGAGGCCCATCATCTTCCTCTCCATGTGCTACAACGTCTACTCCATGGCCTTCATCATCCGCTCGGTGGCAGGGGCTGAGAACATCGCCTGCGACCGGGAGAACGGCGAGCTCTACATCATCCAGGAGGGGCTGGAGAGCACCGGCTGCACCATCGTCTTCCTCATCCTCTATTACTTCGGCATGGCCCGCTGGGTCGTTCTCACCCTCACCTGGTTCCTGGCTGCTGGAAAGAAGTGGGGACACGAGGCCATCGAGGCCCACAGCAGCTACTTCCACATGGCCGCCTGGGGCATCCCGGCCATGAAGACCATCGTCATCCTCACTATGCGGAAGGTGGCAGGGGACGAGCTCACGGGGCTCTGCTATGTGGGGAGCATGGATGTCAGCGCCCTGACTGGCTTTGTCCTCATCCCCCTCTCCTGCTACCTGGTCATCGGCACCTCCTTCATCCTCACAGGCTTTGTCGCTCTCTTCCACATCCGGAAGATCATGAAGACGGGCGGCACCAACACGGAGAAGCTGGAGAAGCTGATGGTGAAGATCGGGGTCTTCTCTATCCTCTACACCGTCCCAGCCACCTGCGTCATTGTCTGCTACTTCTACGAGCGGCTGAACGTGGATTACTGGAACCTCAGGGCCCTGGAGCACAGCTGCCTGCACCTCCCCGGCCGGCGTGCCGCCAACTGCTCCTTGGAGGCCTCGGTGCCCACCGTGGCCATCTTTATGTTAAAGATTTTCATGTCGCTGGTGGTGGGCATCACCAGCGGGGTGTGGGTATGGAGCTCCAAGACGCTGCAGACCTGGCAGAGCCTGTGCAACAGAAAGCTGGGCGTGAGGACGAGGGGCAAACCCTGCAGCGGGGATGGGGGGGCGTGCGGCGGGGGCCCCTGCCACTACAAAGCCCCCACGGTCATGCTGCACATGACCAAGACGGACCCGTATCTGGACAACCCGACACACGTCTAGAGCGGGGGGCTACCCCCTCCCTGGGGACGACATGCCGGGGGAAGCCGGCCTCACGGGTAAGGGGCGAGGGGATGCCGCTGGGGGTGAGGGCAGAGGCTGAGCGGGAACCCACGTGGGCCGGGGGGG